CAAATCAGTGCTCAATAGCCAAAATCAGCCAATGTTACTTTAGGAAATTCATAATCTTAAGATACTGACTACTGTCTGAACAGGGAATGAACTAGTAGGTTTTTAAATCAGAAAAATCAGCACTTTATTAAAGGACTGAAAAAACACACTTAGAAATTTCAGATACTTGGCTAACTGACAATGTATCTGCTTGTTGCTGCTAAAGAATGCTTTGATATTTCAGTCTGTAACTACTTTTCAAAATTCAGTCATCATTTTCTCGAACTCATTCACTAATTCCTTCCAAAAGCAAGAATCTAACACTTAGCTGCCTTTAAATGCTGGCATTTTAGCCTTCTGATTACACTATTCTCCCCCAAAGCTGGGTTTAGGCAAAAATATAAACCAATCTGATTATTTTGATTTCTCCCTCTGTATTTTCTCTAAATTTTCAAGAAGTGAGATTAACTAAAAAACACTTTGAACCTGACATACACATACAAAATAACATGAACATGCTGTACTAATTTTATTTATATTAATCACATTATACATCCTACTAATGTTCGTATTGATAACAATCTATCATCTGCCTATCACACAAAGAAATTAAACTTTGAGGCAAGACAACTCTCCTGTAAACAGAGTTGAGAAGAGTAGTATAACCATCCTTACAATTAATCTCCCTAAGAAAAAATACTCATACTCAAATTGCCTGGTTACTTGCACTACCTTTAAAGTAAAAGTTCTCCCAACAAGTAGAAGTTTGTATCCCATTTTTCTGTAGCATGTAATTTCTCTCTTCTGGTAAAAAAAAAAAAAATCAAAAATTACAATGGGAAAGCTAATCTAAAGGGCCAACACAGTGTTGAAATTTTCTCTTCTATAAGTACTTTCTAATTAAAAAAATAAAAGAATCATACTATGAAAAAGAAAGCTGTGATAAAACCCACAGGATTATATTACTGCTTTTGAAAAAGCTGGCATTTTATCACAAATTCTTCTACTAAAGAAGGCCACATCATAATGAGATTAGAAAATTATGAAAAAAATTCTTTTAGCAAACTGTTCCATGCATGATTAAAGTCCCACTTATCTTCTTTCCTTATATCACTAAATAATTGAGTAAATTATGTCATCTTTACAATTTTTAAACTCTCAACTTCAGAGAAAAAATATATATCTATAGTTTTAAGACATTAGGGATATTGTTACACTTATAAAAATATGGTCATTTAAAATATACTATTATGTTTTTAAATATATATGGTCATTTATAGGTTTTTCCCTAAAATGTCTGAGGTAACAAAATTTTTTAAAAATCTCAGAAGATGCATACTATTCCAGTGGGATGAAAACCATTTGCAAGTTCCACTTAGATTGAGATCCTTTGAGAAAAGTATGTAGTACATTCTAGTTTTACTATTTCTAGAACAGCAAAAACTTCTATAACCTATTTCCCTACTGTTTTTCTTCAAGAGAGGCACCTAAGCTGAATGCAACTTCCTTAATAAAAAGCCAGTATCGTGCTAGTTACACTAAATGACAGTTAGCTATCTGAATTTTCAATAGAGGATGAAGGTTTTCACAAATTAAAACTTTCTATTCCACTTGAATGGCCTACAAAAATAATATCACTGAGTTGAAACTTATTCAAGTGAATATTAATTGCAGGAACACACATACACACAAAACACTTTAAAATGAAAAATGTAGCTTCAATTTAAAAGCCAGAGTTAAGAAAGGAAAAGGAAGACTTCTAAAATCATAATGCTTTCACTGAGATTGTATTTTTTTCACTCTTAACAGTCACTTTTAAAATAAAACTCCCCTAAGGCAAGGAGTACATCCTCAAGCAACATCCACTTTGTTTTATAAAGCAGAAAGTTGTCAGTTACCTCTAAAGCTCCCATTTAGACGGAAGCTGAGGGGAATTACAAAACAATTTCATGTTCCTGAATTTTGCCATTTGACTATAACTAGCTCATCCTAGTAAGACTAAAGATTAGTCTCTGCAACTTGATGAAAACAAGTTTATATTAACATTAAGTATTTCATGTTGTAAAACCTTCCTATAGAAGTAATCTACTTATCTGGAAAATTCAATTATTGAACCTGGCAGAAAGTATTCCAAACTAAATCTATATGAAGAAGGAAAAAAAAAAAAAAAAAAACCAAAGGGACTAGGAAGCTGCAATGTTCACAATGTTTTATCTAAAAATTTAGACCAAACAAAAATGTTGCAACTTCAGCTCCCTATTTCCTACCAAAATGTCAAAGAACTTTAGGTAACTTTTTAGATATGCTTAAGATCCCTGAACTTGGTTGAAGGAAAAAGTAGAGTGAAGAAAATTACCTGGAAGATACTTTGTAAGACAAAATATCTTTACAAAAGAAAAGATATATTAAAATAATTTACCCCTGTCTGCCAGACAGACAGTTCTCCTTACAATTCAGCCAAGTATGACTGCCAAACCTGTGTGTTGGGCGTGTTCAAAGTGGGAAGCATCTCTACCAAGATACTACAAAGAAAACTGAAATTCAGAGTCAAATGTAAGTACATACCTACTGAAAAATTAAATATATATAATATTGGCCTTCCCTGGTGGCGCAGTGGGTTAAAGCCCAGCACTAAAAAACTAAAGCCACTTCAGCATGAGTTCGATCCCTGCCCGCCCCGGAGGTGATCCACAGGGCACAGCAGACCTCTCCTGACCAGCCCGTGCTCCCCTTCAGCAGTGTGCTTCATCAGTCTGCCTGTCCTGTTCCCCACGCTGTCTGTGGTGAATCCTCTCACCACCCCTGCACCTCTAGCCTGTACCCCAGTTCTTTATGCATAAATAAATAAATCTTTAAAAAATATACATATATGTAATATTTTTTCAGAAAGCCTTAAGTTAAAACTTAGGACAAAGCCTACTATATACAGCTTACTTCTAATTTTCAGAAAAGCAGGAAATTAGTTTCCCCAAATTGAACATAAGTAACTGAAAGTAATTTAAAGTAAGTTTTATAAACAGTTCTAACCTTGGTCTACTTTTAATAAAACAGACCATTTATCACAAGTGAATGTAATATCAAACGGAAGATTCTTCAATTATTATAGGTAATATTTGTAAGAACCACCATAATACAGTAACATGTAAAAGTGATTAAAAGGGTAACTGCATTTGTATTACTCTTGCAAGTAAGAGCTATATTTCTGCATGAGGTTGCTACTATGACTTTTAACATTTTTTATGTCCTAAGAACACAATGTCTTATTTATGTTTAAGGCTGAGATGTATGTATCTGATCTACGTAATCCTGTAATCTTGTTTGCTTTTCTGGTAATTATTTCACAGCAATTTGGTTATAGCAAAGGCTCCTTCTTCCCACTATGTCATTAGTACATCAGTTTGGTTATAGCAAAAGCTCCTTCTTCCCACTATGTCATTAGTACATTTCAATTTTGCTTTCACTAAAACATGGACATCATAAGCCACATCTTGCTTCTAGTTTCTGCTCTTTAATATTGGTAATAATGATGGTGAGTGCCACCAAATGCACCTATGTGTATAAGTTTTTTCTTTTTCCAGCCCCTTCGTTTCTTGGAAAAAATGAGGGACTTAGTCTTGCACAAAAAAGAAAAAAAAAAGTTATTTCCTTTGCATATATGCCTAATAGATTTTCAAGAGGAGATTTATTCAGGAACCTACCATACTAGAGATGTTAAAAGAATTTCCCACATCCCAAAATACTAAATTTGATATTTGCTGGAGAGGAAATTTCCACTTAAACCATAAATAAAATATGTCATTAATTAAGCTGGCCAACAATATAACTCACTCAGTCAATAATCAGTTCTCAATAGGGAATGTCTAACCCATATCTAACCTACATATATTCAAAATATCATTTCTATTTGCTTGTGGAGTTCACAGGTGAATTCTCTGTCCCAGATTTATCTTCTTTTGAAATGCTTAGGCCAGTATATGTGGGTATAATCAGAGCCCACATAGTGTCTAGAAGAGAGGTAATTCAGAAGAACGCTAAGTAACATGGGAAAACCGGTCCAAAAAGAAAAGGAAAAAAACAAACAAACCACGTCCCAACAGTGTGAATAATCCACAAATAGGTCAATGGAAGGAAGCAAAACGAAATGTTCCTCTCCTCAGCAGCCTGAATAAACGATCTTTACTCATAACGTTTGATAGTATCCTACCTCACTTCACTACTCACTTCCCAACTTCCTTGACTTTTCAAGGGCCAATACGGGGCATCCCTTTTTTCTGGAAATGTGTATTCAAAGAACCTGTATCAGGAAAGAGGTCAGGAAACGACAGTTCCCAGGAAAGCCGAGAAACAGGTGGGTAAGGACGAGCAGGAGCAATCATCTAGAGACTTCAGGGGCAGCTTGAAATTGACAGATGTGGTTCAAGGGAAGACTACAAATCGCAGGAAGCTCTAGTGTAGCAGACAGTCTGGGGGCTGATTGCAAGCACAAAGAGGAGGGGGTTGGGGGGGCAAAGGGTAACTCCAGAGTGGCAGCAGTGGAGCAAAAGCCAGCAAGCAGGACGAGTGGGCAGGGAAGCGATGGGATTCACGAGCAGCAGCACGGGTCAGAGCGAAGTGATGGCTTGGGTCTCGGGAGACGGGGGCCAAGGAAAGGACGTCAGAGCGGGGCAGGGGGCTGGGGAAACCGGCAGTGCCGAGACCTGAGAATCCTGTCCCTACAAAAATGCAGGGGAGCTGAAGACCAGAAGCCGCCTGTACTCCTAAATTGAAGAAATTGTCGAAGGAGCCGGTGTCGGCGGCCGCGCCGCCTTCTGTCCCGCTCCCTTTTCCTGGTGGTAACTGCTGTGGCGTAGAGGGGAGAGGGAGGAAGAGGAGGAGGAGGAAGAACAAGGAGGAGGAGGGTGAAGATGAGGCGGGGGGTGGGGAGAAGGGGGGTGCGGCCTGCACAGAGCCAGAGAAGCCTCCGCTCTCTCGTAGCCGGTCAGCCCCGGGTTTCCCCTTAGCCCAGCCCCGCATAGACTCACCCGCCTGCCTTGCCTCGCTTTTCCCTTAGCCGACTCCACGCGCTGCCGCGTCCTCACCAGAGACCACTGAACGAGTGTCGGGGAAAAAACTCTTCAGAACCGGGCCTGATTGCTTCAGCAAGTCCGACCTTTACGGCTGAGAGAGAGACTCTCAGCTTTCGGTGGGTTCCACAGCCAGACGGGCCACCATCTTACATTAGGGTAAGACTCCTCCGGCCTCTGGTGCGCAGGCGCACGCCGATCCAGCCGGGAGGGGCGGGGGAGGGGCAGGAGGAGCGGCGAGCGGCCGCCCCCGCAGCACCCTGGGAGTTGTAGTCTTCCGAGGGTAACCGCCCAGTGGCAAGCTGGGAATTGAAGTTCTCCCGGCGGAGGCGGACGGAATCGCCCGCCTCACGTGTCTGCCAGACGGCTGCTTTCGGTGTTTTACTTCCTTCTCAGCCCGCGTGTGCTGCTCCACTGTCATTGGGTCGGCGGTCTTCGGTGGTCGCGTTTTCTCGATGTGTGCTAAAATGTGCAAACATTTAGCAAGCAAACATCAGGGCAAGCGCACCAATTTGGAGGGAGACTGGGACGTCTTTTCGGCCCCGCCCACAAGAGGTGGTTAAGGGGGCGGGGCCGGGGCAGGTGGGGGCGGGGAGGAGCGCGGGATTTGATCGCGGGTGAGAATGGGCCGCTGGCTCTTTGCGAAAAGCGGGCGCTTCCTTGTTTCCCTTGTTCGTGCTTTTGGGGGCCACTACCCTCGAGCCCATTTTCACCTTTAGGCTCCAGTGGAAAGAATACCCCAAATTGTCCTGTACGGGAAAACAAGAGAACGGACCGACCTATGCACTTGCAAAAAAACGTGTTTCTGATTATGTAAATAGGAGAACGTTCTGCGGCGGACGTAGGTGCAAATTATTGTTAGGTGGGTGTCCGGCCCGTACAGCTCTGTGCATGAAATTGACAAACTGCGCACTATCAACTTAATCCAAAGAACATAAAAATGTGCAGTGATCCCTACGAGTGCTGAGGACTCTTCAATGCAGAAAATCAAGTTCCTGGTTCTTCTGGCTTGCTTCCTAGAACTCTGGTGGAAGCCGCGCTCCAAGCTGTCGTTTTCCTTTATTGCGAGTATTCAGGAATGCACACAACAAATAGTCTTTAAGCTCCTGTGTGCCCGGTACTGCTCTATGGGTAGAAATACCACAGTGAAAAAAGGCAAAAGTCATATTCTCGGTATCCAGTGTGTACCAGGGTGAGGGGGAAAGAAGAGGAAGCAATTTTTTAAACATAGATGGTTAAAATCATAGTAGGTCATAAATGATAAGGAAAGAACTTAAAATTAACAGCGAAGGGAGCTAGAAGAGGTTGCAAACTTAAAACCGGGAAGAGGAATAGGAAAGGTTTCAGTTTTAAATCTGAACCTCGTAGTGAGAAGCTTTCATTTCATTTTTGTTTCTTAATACATTCGTCGCTCTCTGTGTTTGTTTCTTCCCTCTCAAGCCTAGAGACAGTTATTTGGTGAAAGATTTTATGTGTAATAAACTCAATTTATCGCGAAGTTGAAAGTACAGCACCAGGAAATGATTACTGAACAAAGAAACCTGGAGAATCATTTGGAGTCACCTTTAGCTAGCAAGAACTGGAACATTCTATATAGCTGATGTGGTGTTTTTTTTTTTAGTTCTGAGGGTTATATTTTTTGATCCTCCATATATGCATGTTCCAATTACCCTCCACTAAACCACCCATGCCCATACCCTTCTGCCTGTATCCCATACGCCCCCTTCCTCCCCTAAGCTTCCCTCTGGTAACTATTATATTTTTCACTGATTTCAAGATTTATTCTTACTGTATTTTGCCTGTGTAATTTTTTATTATTTCCATAAATTAGTATAACCATATCAGTTTTTCACTTACTTCACCTACCATATTCACCTCGAGGTCCATCCGTTTTGTTCCAAATGCCACTGTCCCCTTTTCATAGCTGTGTAGTACTCCATTAAGTATATATTCCACAAACGTGTATTTTTTTTAATGTTTTTGGTTTTCTTGTATATATCACCAATTTTGGGTTTTTACTTCAAAGTTTATTAGTCTGCATAACTGTATCATTTGAGGGGTACAATGTCACACTACCATATGTGCACATGCTCTACTCACCCTCCACCAAACACTGGTGCAACTGTCCTATCCCCATCCTCTCTCCCCCTTTCCCTCTGATAATATTTTTCACAGAATCTAAAATTTTGTTTTGTTGTATATCACCAATTTTATAGTATAGACAAAGTAATAAAAAATCCTTTCCATTATTAAAGATTAGAACCAACACATTAAGAATTAGATGGGGGGCCCTCCTGGTGGTGCAGCAGGGTAAAGCACAGCACTAAGAAGCTAAAACCACTTCAGCATGAGTTCGATCTTCATCTGCCCTCTCCTGACCCACCCGCTGCTCCCCTCAGCAATGTACTGCGTCACTCTGCCTGTTCTGCTCCCCACCCTGTCTCTGGTGAATCCTCTCACCGCCCCTGCATCTCTGGCCTGTACCCCAGTTCTGTATGCACAAATAAAATAAATATTTAAAAAAAAAATTAGATGGGGGCTTAAGCATATATTTTTTTATACTTCCCTCCTTAAGCATCATCTAATCCAGTGGTTAGCAACCTTAGATTAGCCAACTCTCTTTTTTAAAATAAAAATTTCACAGTATCTCTTTTAATAATCTAATACGAAATCTATATATAATATAGCCTGCCCACATCCATGATTTTGCTTTTGTTTACATGCCTGACTTAGAAAAAGTAGAAAGAAAGTAATGTATAATAGTTTCTATTTAAATATATAAATGTTCAAGCATCATTATTCAAGAAAGTATAATCAATACTTACATGCTGGCATTTATAAATAAAATACGCATGAACGTGAATAGTACAAACACCAGCTGACAGAGGTGTGGTGTTTGGCCACATTTAATGGACACACTTATCTATGTCCTTTGTGTCTACTGAAGATGCTTTTTCTTAAACATTCACTGTTAGAAATGTAAAAATAAAACACAGCTTTGAGTTCACAGGTAATATAGATTTTACATACAATTATTGTATACAAGCTCTTCACTGTATATAATCCAGCATTTAAAAGCCACAAGGAACACAAAATAATTTATCAATTAACAGTCGCAGCTTTTGCCGAAAGTCTACTGGACCTCTGCTCTCTAAACGGCAGTAGTAGCTCACAGAGTCCGCGCCACTAGGGGGCAGTAATAAACCTATTGAGTCATTCATTAGCAGGAAGGAAGGGATATTTGTTAGGTAATCAAGAGTTGAGTGACAGAGTGACTGCCCTCTCTAACCAGTGCTCCTTTCACTACACTATATCACCAATTTATCATACATACATATGTATGTGTGTGTGTGTGTGTATATATATATATATACAATTTCAATTTCATGTAGAAGTGTCTGATATTTAATTCTCATATTTTAAAACTTTACTGGCACTAAATTCTGTTACCACATTTGCTGCTAAGTGCAGGATACATATATTCACTTTAAATGATTTTTTACCTTTAAGCACTGTGCTAGTTGCTGGTGATACAGTAAAACATAATTCCCTTTTCAAAGAGATTAGTGCCAACTGGAGAAGGCAGAGAGTAACATAAATACAAATAGATAAATACAAACATTGTTTCATATAGACCACTATAACTGTTGAGGTGTACTATGAAGAGGTTATAAGAAAGTTTATTAAGAGAGGAAGCTAGTTAAGATTGGTTGGGAGAAGGATAATTAGGGAAGATCTTTACAGGTTAAAAGTGAAAAATATGCAGGGAATATTAGGTAGGAAAAAACTTTGCCAGATGGCTAGTGTGTGATGGTGAAGAGGGGAGGAGTGGTGTAGGATAAATTTAAAGAGAGAGAAGGACCAGATCACGCCAGAACCATGCAAGCCATGCTAGAAATTGTTATCTTATTCCATGGGAAATTTCTGAAAGAGACATAATCTGATTCGCATTATTAGAAGACCATGCTAGATTTGAAGACCTTTGATATAAAGATGTGAAATCTCAGATTGACTAGAAAGCATGAAATAAGGAGTCTTAAACAAAGCAGAGCTGTTACCCTGCAGATTTCAAGGGCATTTAAGCAGAGTCTTGTAGTTTGCCAGCTGAAAGGCAGCTGGAGGCATGCTCATGAGATAAGAGGATTAAATAAACTTTTGATCTCAGTGATTCTGTATAACAAAAAGCCCCCCTATAGCTGAATGCCCATCATTGGGAAATTACTAATTTAATTTTCATACTACATTCTATGGACTTTTACATTGCTACATAAAATAAAGAGAAAGGAAAAGAATTATATAGTCACCTGATAGTATGCCCATGATACATTATTAGGTAATATGTAATTTACATGTCGTATATAATGTAATACAACCTTCAGGAAAAAATAATCAGTTAAAAAATATTTGAAGGGAAACTATAGCTTTTTCTTTATAAATCACTGTATTGATATATTGTGATAGATATGAATTCATTTTATACATTTCATTTAAATAGACCATTTTGCTGTGTGGAGAATGGATAAGGGGAAAAAAAAAAAAAGATGGAGGACCCTCTCTGGTGGTGCAATGGGTTTAAACTCAGCACTATGAAACTGGCCTCAGTCGCCTTAGCAGGAGTTCAATCCCCTGCCAGGGAGGTGACTCACATGGCACGGTGGACCTCCCCTGTCCAGCCCACTGCTCCCCTCAGCACTGTACCTCAGTAATCTGCCTTTTCTGCTCCCCACTCTGTCTCTAATGAATCCTTTCACCCTCTACACTTCTGGCCTTTACCCCAGTTCTTGTATGCATGAATAAATAAATCTTTTTTAAAAATGGAAAATGAAATAACTCATTGAGAAAACATTTCAGTTATCCAGATGGTGATTCTGATTGTGATAGCAGCAGTCTGGACAGAAAATTTTTGAGACCGAAACAATAGGTCTTGGCGACAAACTGGATTATGAAGTTGTTCTCATGAATGACTCATTTTCTGACTTTAATGAGCTTGTAGATGGCGGTTCCTTTGGTAAAGAGGAATGGTAAATATAGAAATAGCATCTGTAGAAAGTAGGAGAACATGAGAATAACATGAGAATAACAACTGGATGTCAGGGGAAAATAATATTGCCCACTAGAAACTGGTGAACTTAAAAATTATTGGAAATCTATTTTGCTCAACTTAATGATTTTCCCTACTAATGCTTATCAGCTTGG